GTTCAATGCACATATACAAAGGATGTGTAAATAACAGTGTTTAGAAGTGGGTTCTGATGTCAGAAATCCCAACTCTGACATGTCTAGCACTTTAGTCTTCAGCAACGTACCTGATGTTACCACATCTTAGGGATACCTCTCCAATTCCAGAAAACAGGAATTTTTTTTAGCACTTAATTTGCCTTGCTATCATAAAGATTAAGTTGAATGAAATGACAGATGTAGATGACAGAGCACAGTGCCTGATATATACGATCCACAAATGTTAACGTTTACTATTATTGCAAACAAAGCCTTGATTGCCCATGTTAAATAAAATTGTACTATAGCCACAAAATACAGTAGCACTTTAAACAGACAGTGTTAGAATTTGTCATATTTTTAAACTCATGTTTGAAATTTTGCCTGATGTTCCTGGCAATCTATCGCGCTTGCAACTAGTGATCTAAAATGTGACATTCTGACCTGGAAACCAATCTTTTTTGCTTCAAATCTACTTGCCAGCTTTGTTGCCCATATTCATAAAGACAGTTATCACACGTGAGCAGCCCCTTCTCCCTAAATATTCTTTTGTTTAATCTTGTTCCAGGATTGCAAGAAGTAATTAAATTCTAGGTTTAAAAGGACTCCCTTTGGGCTGTAGAATTGAAAGGAAACAGATGGTCAAAGAGTCACTAACAGATTCTCTCCTAATTTGTTGAAGTTACTACGTTAAGAAACAGAAGATAAAATTCACCCTTGATAATTAATTTAAGCAAAAAAAAATCCTATAAGAACATGTAGTTGATTGCATAATATGTATTATGGAAAGTGCATTAGAAGTAGCTATAGTCGGAACACTCAACCTGATTATTTTGGGAGCCCTACGTTATTATTTCCTTAGGTCAAACCACGAGGAAGGTTGGTCCTAAGGTTTGTTGGTCCAAACCTTTCCTCAACGGGATAATTTTGTACTAGAGTTGAATCCATTTTAGCCTCTCTCTTCCCAAGTTCTGCATCCTTTACTAATGTCTCACAGTATTGTTTCCATACAATCAATTGACTTGTGAGTACTTCTTAAACATTGAAGAATCGTCATCATTTATACCTGAGTTTCCCAAATGAGTTTAGATTGGGCCAATTTATCCCAACGGTTTCTTCACTGCTGAGAAATTTAGGAAATCAGCCATCGGATACTGGGCACCAATGTGAAAGCAATGTTCTTCCATCTCTGTATCTGTCCCATGCAAGTCACCACGGTCCAGTACTTGGAGCAAACAAAAAACATGTCCAGTCATTTGATGGGTGATTTCCGAATCTAGACTTCTAAGGAGCTTTAAAGAGCATTCAAACACACTTTGCCAGCTATGACAAACACCAAGGTACACAAGAGTATCCCACATGAACACCCACAGGTGTCCTGGTTGCTGCTCCACTTCTGAAGCAGGTCCCTGCTGATGACCTGGAAAAAGCAGTTTAAGACAGCCCAAGTGTAAGGGTGACAGAGGAATCATGTATATGGGGAATCATGAAGAAGCTCCCTGCTTCCGGCTTTGGCCTAGCACAGCCCAGCTATTCAGACCATCTAGAGAGTAAATCGGAAGGTGGGAGATCTCTGTCTCTCTCTCTCAGTAAACATGACTTGTAAATAAATAAATTAATATTTTTTTAAGTGTGAACTTCAAAAACTTTTGCATCCGAAATAAACTCATATTTAAAAACTATGTTTGCTTATTTACTTATTTGTAAGTCAAAGTTACAGAAAATAAGGGCAAAGAGAAGGAGAAACCTGGGGCCTGAGGACTTGTGTTATCTTCTGCTGCTTGAGCAGGTGTGTTACAAGGTGCTGGATCAGAAGTTGAGCAGCCAGAATGTGAAGCAGCTCTCATACGGGATATATACGCATCACAAGAGGCAACTGAACGTGCTATGCCACAACACCAGCCCCAAGTTCACCTTTTCATTCTCTTCACAAAATTTTTGAACTATCGTCTTACGCTGACACAAAGGCAATTGACAAGCTGTGATTAAGTTCTGATTTTGGAAGTTCTATGGAGATCAATTTTTAAAAGTTCAATTTTTAAAAGCATTGGGACCCTGCACCCATGTGGGAGACCCAGAAAGAAGTTCCTGGCTCCTGGCTTCGGATCAGCGCAGCACTGGCCATTGTGGCCACTTTGGGAGTGAATCATCGGATGGAAGATCTTCATCTCTGTCTTTCCTCCTCTCTGTTTATCTGTGTTTCGATAAAATAAATAAATGTTTAAAAAAAACTCTCAATATTCACTTGTAGAAATATTTATTTATTTACTTATTTAACTTTAAGGCAGAGTTCTAGAATGAGATGGAAAGGCAGATTCACTGACTTGCTCCCCAGAATGATCCCCATGACCAAGACTGAAGCCAGCAGCCAGGAGCTAGTTCTGGGCATCTCACACAGGTGGCAGGGTCCCAAGTAGTTGGATTATCTTCCACTACTTTCCCAGGCCCATTAGCAGAGAGCTGGTTCAGAAGCTGAGCAGCTGGGACACAAACTGGCACCTATGTGGGATGCCAGCATTGAAGGTAGTGGCTTTATCCATTATGCCACCACACCAGCCCCATCACAATCTTAAAATCTCCACAAGCCCGGGGCCACTGTTAACCTGCCTCTTGTGATGGCAGTATCTGTTCCAATGCAGTTCCCTGCTAATGCACTTTCAAAAGATGGTGCAAGTGCTTTGGCCCCCGTCATTCATGTGAAGAAACAGGGTGGAATTGCTGGCTTTCAGATTTAGCCTGTATCAGCTATCTGCGGAGTAAACCAGTGGATAAAAGACTTTTCTCTATCTCTCTCTGCCTTTCAAATAAGTCTTGTTTAAAAAAAAAAGTTTATACCAAGTCACACATAGAATGCAGAGAACATGAACTGGAGCCATGATAAATTAGTGGTTAGAAGTATGGGAGGGGGCCTGGCACGATAGCATAACAGCTAACGTCCTCACCTTGAATGCGCTTGGTTCCCATATGAGCACTGGTTCTAATCCCAGCAGCCCCACTTCCCATCCAGCTCCCTGCCTGTGGCCTGGGAAAGCAGTGGAGGACGGCCCAAAGCCTTGGGACCCTGCACCTGCGTGGGAGACCTGGAAGAATCTCTGGACTTTGCATCAGCACAGTTCCAGCTGTTGCGGCCACTTGAGGAGTGAATTATTAGATCGAAGATCTTCCTCTCTGTCTCTCCTCTTCTCTGTATATCTGCCTTTCCAATAAAAATAAATAAATCTTTAAAAAAAGAGAGTGAGAGAGAAGTGTGGGAGAAAAACTTCCATGCCATTTAAATGTCACCTATAATCATTCTAGCAATTTTAACCAAAGGTCAGTTTGGGTTTTTGTTAGAAGTTCTTACAGTTGTTTGATTTTGCACTGGGCTTACTATTTCTTCCAGTAAGTGTAAATTTATAAGGTATTATAATACTAAAACAACAAAATATGGTATATGGTGTTACACTGGGTCAAAACATGCATCAAGAACTCCAAACATGCAGAAAACACAAGTAAGTTTGGGAGTTCTATTGTATCTAAAAAATTTTCATCAAGAGGAAAAAAAATTATTAAGGTCAGAGTTTTCCTATATTGACCTACAGATGATCAATTGAGACTTTCCCAACTTGTGTGTCTTCTCTAGCTTCCTTTTTTCCTTAAAAAAAAAAATAGATAGATAGATGAAAGGCAGATTTATAGAGAGAAGGAATGACAACGAGAAGGATCGTCCAACCACTGATTCGCTCCACAAGTGGCCACAACAGCCGTAACTGAGCACATTTGAAGCCAGGAACCAGGAGCTTCTTCTGAATCTCCCATACAGGTGCAGGGTCCCAAGGCTTTGGGCCATCCTCGACTGCTTTCCCAGGCCACATGCAGGGAGCTGGATGGGAAGTGGAGCTGCGGGGATTAGAACTGACGCCCATATGGGATCCCAGTATATTCAAGGCGAAGACTTCAGTGTAGATTACTGCTCCGGGCCCAAAACTTGTGGCTTTAAAAAATTAGATAATGAGGTACAGGGAGTCTTGCCACATGGACAAAATAAGTTAATACACTCTTGCCAGTTTTCACAGATTCAGATCCCCCCGCCAGCCAGTTAACACCCACCGTTGTTTATTTTTATGACAATCAATGAGAAAAGTCAGAAAACCATCAGATATTAACAATGCAAAGCCAAGGGACTTTGAGAGATGGTTAGTGATAACTCAGCCCCATTCTATGCTTTTTTTTTTTTTTTTGCACAGTGAGTGATTTCCAGCAAAATGCTCGCCCCCCATATTTCTAAATCGTGCATTAAAAGCAACAGTGCAGAAATCCAAAAGGTAAACTTTAGTACTGCAAACAGAAGGGTCCTTTTTCTGAAGCAAACAACCACCTCTTTATTTATGTTATCAAGGAGCTCTTGCTAAAGTGAACTAATTTTGCAGTTGCAGAATTGTTTAAACATGTTGTCACATTTCAATAAACCCAGGATTTATTTTGGCCATAAACAAAATGTGAATTTTACTTGTCAGATTCATAGGATCTGTAATTACGGCAACAACTGAAACAAATCCTCAATTACCCATAAGCGATTAAAGGAAAAAAAAAAATCGAAACTAAACTTAAGTACCATATACTTTCACCCCGTGCATAGTTCTCAACAATGGTGTCCAATCAAGCAAATGATAGAAGACAGCACTCATTTTGAAAGCCTCTTAGAAATGTAAGTCTTCACACAAAAGGGAGGTACAATTGTTCTGCCTTGAATGGAAATTCTGAAAGCAGTTTCCTCTTGAATCTGCTTTTGAGTAGGGGCAGAAAAGGCATAGAATAAATAGCAGCTCTGAAACTGAACGGCCTCCACGTGAACCTGCCTGAGTGATCCCTCAGTCTAATTAGAGTCCTTTCAAGTGGGGTGTGAAACTTTAAAATTACCGTATTTGATTGAGATTCTCGGAAACTCAGTTGGTACTTTGAAGTGTCAGGATGGATATGAAAAAAAAGAAGACAAGAAGTTCAGCAAGATTTTGGTTTTTAATCTACAATTTTGCCCAGAAAATTGAAGTTGCCTGAAATTTCAAAATTTTCTGACCACACCCACACGCAGAGGACAGACAAAACAAAGTTCAAGGTTGAAGATTCTTATTATTTCCCATAACCTTCATGTCTACAGCAAACCCTCTCTGGTACAAACAGAAACAAACCACAAGGCACAACCACACAGCAACCGCCCGGAATGGGCTGCTCTAAAGCTCTCGCAGGGGGTGGGTTCATGCCCCACATCCCGATTGCACACAGCTGCTGTGGCCACTGGCCGCCCTTCTTTTCAGCGAAAAACAGAGGCACTTTCATTTCTTCTGCTCTACACTCAGTTTTCACCCTAGGTAAGACTTAACAGCGCTGTTCTCCGAGCTTCTAAAAAAAAAAAAGAAATTGTTACTCCAAATGAAGAGCAGGGAGCTCAAAAGGGAGAACATCCTTTCACTTGAAGCAGCAGCAACTTAGCGGGCCCCCACCCACATGAAGCCACTTGGTAGTGCCCTGCTCAGTTCTCGACATATTTGCAGCAGTTGGGACATACTAGAAGTCAGATTTGTTGAACGAAAATTTCAAAAGTCCAATCAGGGAAACGTCCGAGGAAGGTGGGGAAACCAGGTCTCTCACAAGTTTTTTCAAAACAACATGATTTCACAGTTCCCAACATCCTCTTACATTTTCTCTTATCCTAGCAGGCCTTCCACCCAAAGTTAAACACTCCTGCACATTCTCCAAATAACTCTGCTGCAAGGGGGGGGGGGGGTCTCAGACTCTCAAAATAATCCCTGGGCGTCAGGAGGCCTCCACCCAGTCCCCAGGGGGCAGAAGATGTGTACCAACATCCTTTGCAGCAAGGGTCCCCTATCCCTTCTTCTCATACTCTGAGCACCTGTGCCAAATAACTCACTCTTGAAATTTACCACGGTGAATTTCATACCAAACTTACTCACCTAGCCCTAGAGCCCCTACTCCCATCACCACGTCCCATTGAGAGAAATTGCACAGCCTCCTTTTCCCTTTAAAGGAGAAACATAGTGCCAGTGCCCTAAAAGCATACAAAGCTAAACTTCATTTTCGGTGCAACAAAGGGCAAAAAGGGAATGGGGGGGGGGGGTTGCTGTTGGGATGGGGGATGCGAGCGTTTTCGGAAGGAGAAGCAACCCAGAAGAACTTCTGCAATTTAACGGTTCTGCTAGTGTGCAGGAAAACAACAAAGGTGGGATCCCCACTCTCCTTACCGCCGTGGAGCCGGAGGAAGATGCAATATACACGCGAATCACCATCCTGAGAACCGCGACTTGGGGGATGATTGGCTCCCGAAAACTGCAGCGGCGCGGCTGCTGTAACGGCTGCAACGGAGCAAGGGGCAGAACAGAGGTTGGAAGACGAGGGTGGGGGAAGGTGGAAGAGGAACTCGCTCGAGCCCCGCCTCCCGCCTGAGCTGCTTTCAACGGGCTTGGCGCGCTGCAGTCCCAGCCCCAAACTCCGGAAGGCACGGGCTCCTTTGCATCATTTCCATTTTTTTTTTTTTGAAAAGGGAATCTCGAATAGCACCGCGAGAACTGTTGAAACATTTATTTTAGACTATTCCCTCCTCCAGGAAGGGAAAGAAAACGGGAGCACGGAATTGAATTAGATTAGAAGGAAGCGCCTTTTCCCACGGAGACTGAAAGTTCTGCGCATGACTTCCTGCTCAGAAAATGTATGCAAATAAGAAGACAGATCTTCCTTGAAAGACCAAGCCCTGTGTTGAACAGACACTAGTAAGAAAACCCCTGTTCTCAAAGCCTTGGCCGTTTGAAAAGTCCTGTTATGTAGTGATATTTCTGCTAGCAGCTAATTTCAGGAACTGAGCACCGAATCGAGCTCGGCCACAGAGGGTTGAAGCGTTTCAGGTTTCCCTAAGTTCACAAAAAGAGCAGGATTGGTTTTCTTTCTGAATTTTGTGTTTTGTTAAAATAGGGAACCGTGCTTCTCTGGGAATTTGTAAGAGGCCTGTTCAGGGGCAGATTCAAGATTGAGGAGTAAACTGCAAACAAACAAACGAAAACTGTTTGGTCATACTGTGTCAGAAAGCGAATACTTCTTGTGTTGGTCTTTTAACTGACTTGAGAAAAGGGAGCTTGGAGCATATGTTTCAGGAGACGCGGAACCGGGGAACGCGGAGCAGATGGTTATTGGTAGCACTAGTGAAATGAGCTAACAGTTAATAATGTCTAGAGAGGGGCCCTGTAGTTCAAAGTGTGGTTTCAAGTTCCCTAACTCTGACAAAGGAACAGAAAAGGGGAATTTGCAAAAGAATGAGAGCGGAGGGGGCAGTCACCCGTCCCACTTGTTTACTTTCCCTTTGAAGTTTGTCCTTCCTCTCCATTTTAGTGATCTGTTATCTTTGCCTCAGCTCAGTAATTGCCATAGCTTCGGAACTCTTCCCGGGTCACAGGTTTTTCTTGCTCTGACCATTTTAGACATTACTTCCAAAACCATGCACTTATATGGAGTCCGTAGAACAACCTGAAGAAGGTACGATTGCATGACGTTTACAAATAAATAAACTGAATCTCGGGAAAATACATATTCCAAAGTCGCATAACCAAGTAATGTCCAAAGTCAGGATTCGAACTAGGGTCCAAACTCCAAAGACCACATTCATAATGATCACTTTAACACACTTCACGGGGAAAGTGCTCAAAAATATTATGGATTGTGTTTCCTTAAACATCAGATTCATGAATCACTAAATACGGGGGGGGGGGACTGAAATATTTATTATATATCTGCATTAGCTACCAAACCAAAACCCAAGTTAATGTGTCCAAGAAGTCCCCACCATAATGTGACCTACATTATTCACAGAATTTTTCCTGTCCCTCCCCCCAAACCAACTGATTTTGTTAACTGCACCAGTGCAATCACCATATCATTTCCACTCTCAGGCCTTGTTCTTCATGTTCCTTCTCTCATTTCCTCCCGCTCCAGTCCAGCCTCCCCCGACCCCCCTCATCTAACAAACTCTTAACCCTCCCTAAACTCAATTCAGAGATCTTTGCAGCTGAGCAGGCAGAAGTTAACCTCTGTGGTCTAGGCACAGCCACCTTTGCTACCTCCAGGACTGTTGGACTTTCCAGCCCATGGGGTAGAACTACATCCCTTTTGTTTTTCAGGTGGCAAAATCTGTCTTACACGACTGTGCAACAACCTCCCTCCCCTCAGTGGTCCACATTTACTTCATCTCAGTCTGTCATCTCCATTGGGATGATGGGACATTCAAGAAAACCAATTTATCCTACTTAAACCACAGGAAAAAGTAAAGTAATTTTTCCTGGAGAATTGAATAATAAAATTAGCAGTAAGTTTGGTGACCTCCCTTAAGCCTCTGAGAATTAAGGAAACAGTTGCTCAGCTCATTTCTCTGAGTGCAGATGTTTTAATATAAGTGAAGATTTTTTTTTTTAATAATAAACCATTTTGTAGGCAAAATACATCAGTCTGTGTAGACAGCATTTAGGAAACATTGCATGCAAAGAGGTATTATCAACATTTCCTTTTTAAAATATTTATTTGTTTTCATTGGAACGGCAGATTTACAGGGAGGAGAAAGAGAGAAAAAAAATCTTCCATCAGCTAGTTCACTCCCCTAATGGCAATTGGAACTCAGTCAATCAGAAACCAGGAGCCAGGAACTTCCTCCAGGTCTCCCACATGGGTGCAGGGTCCCAAGGCTTTGGGCCGTCCTCAACTGCTTTCCCAGGCCACAGGCAGGGAGCTGGATGGGAAGTGGGGCAGCCAAGACAGGAACTCGCCCCGGTATGGAATGTTGGTGTTTGCAAGGCAAAGATTAGCCAAGTGAGCCGTCATTCTGGGCCCAGCAACGTTTCTGTTCTAAACATTAACATTATAGATGGTATCGCAGTCGCTTGTCACTTTATTCACTCGTCTCTAGGAAAGATATTCTAGAGTGATCATTTCTCCTTCAGGTTACATCTTTGTAGCGTGGTGTCCCTAGATCATTTGTTCAGATAATTTGATTGGAAAGATTAAGAGCTGAATAAAGCCGGATCAAAAGGTGACCTATTGAGACAATGTGTGATTTAGTAGTCAGATATTAATGTTTTTCAAGTAGTACAAAATGAATGTGTGCTTTCTCCAGAAACTTAGGACTAAAAACAAGTGCTAAGAAAAAAAAAAAAAAAGAAAACTTCAGACCCCCAGCAAGCAAAGATCATCACTGCTGGTATGTTACTGAAACTCCTAGGCAGACGGCAAGAATGCTGAAAACGGAGGCCAAGGGAGTTGGAGGGAGGGAGAAAGCAAAGAAACATTTTTTATTTCTTTGGAAGGCAGAGTTAGGAGATGCAGAGAGAAGGATCTTCCATCCACTGCTTCACTCCCCCAAAGGGCCGCAGCGGCCAGAGCGGGGCCCATCGAAAGCCAAGAGTCAGGAGTTACTTTCTGGGTCTCCCCCAGGAGTGCAAGAGCCCAAGGAGTTGGACCATTCTTTGCTGCTTTCCCAGGTTCATTAAGCAGGAGGCTGAATGGGTGATAGAGCAGCCAGGACTCCCAGGGGATGCCAGCACCCAAGGATGTGGCTTTACTTTCTAGGCCACAGCTTTGTACCCCAGTAAATCAATCTGAAGCACCTTTCACTCAGATTTTTTTTTTTCTAATATGAAGAATGTATTTGAACGTTTTTTCCCATGTTGCAGAATATTTCATGACATGTGTGGATGACTTTCATTTTATACATATCTCAAAACTCATATAATAACTAATGTTGAGTATTTTGCATGTTTTATATTATGCTACATAGCAGTTAATGCTATAGTAAAACTGTATTAATACACTGTCGCCCACATGTCTAACGATCTCTTAAGAATATGTTCCTTGGTGTGGAATTGCTGGCAAACTGGGTAGGCACTCAGGCCTATTGTTAACAGTGCTGTGATTTGGATCCAGTATTTCCCTGGTCTTGTGCAGAAACAACATTCATTTCATTCAAGAATTAGCTGATGCCACTTGAAGCATAAGAATTGCTTTGACCCCCCCATCAAAAGAATTGGATTGTGGGTCCGGTGCAACAGCTCAGGTGCTAAATCCTCACCCTGCAAAGTCCAGGGTCCGTGGGCACCAGTTTGTGGCCAGGCTGCCCCACTTGCCATGCAGCTCCCTGCTTGTGGGCTGGGAAAGCAATGGAGGATGGTCCAGAGCCTGAAGAGCCTGCCCTAACATGGAGACCTGCAAAAAGCTCCTGGCTTCCGATGGGCTCAGCTTGCTGCCACTTGGGGAGTGAACCAGCAGACGGAAGATCTTTCTCTCATCTCGTTCTCTCTGTAAAACCTGCCTTTCAAATAAAAATCAATCTATATGAAAAAAAAAATGGATTGTGGATAAGTGAGCTAAGACCTCAGGGTCGTGGATGTAGCAAATGTAGTCTGGGAAAAGTTTTTAACAGGTCTTACTCTTCCTCTGCCTCCCCCTGCCGCACCCCCTACCAAGGCCTACCCCTTGGTTATGCTGATCTAAGGTGGTAACACTATGTGCTTTCCGGCGGTGGAGGTGCCTGTTCCCTTCCCTATTTGCCCTTGGACAGACCAGAACCTGCTGTCAGCATGAATATATAGCACTTTGCACAGGACACATCGTGATTTACTTTTTTTTTTTTTCATGAAGTTTTCCGGTTTCTCGACTGAAGTGAGCTGGATAGAGAGCGGTGGAATCGGGGTTTGCAGCACAGGCCCAGCAGTGTCTTTGCAGCTCCGCAGTCTTGTGAATATGAGTCACAGCAGTGGCATCATCGAACCATGACTAAGAGAACTCTCCTGATCAGAAATGCAACTCCTTTCGGTCTCCTCCTCCTCCTTGTACATCTTCTCTCCCTGCTCCCTTGAGCTCCACTTTCTGATTTAAAAAAATACATATATCTAGTGATCTTGCATCATCAACCCTGATCAGAAAGTTCTTTCTGCCTCATTGCTTTAATTGATACTGTTTCTTCAGGCCAGTGTCTCCCGTGGAGACACTGTTCATCAGCCCACACCCACCTCCAAGCAACAAGCCTGCAGCTGGGAGGTAGTTTATCTTCCCTTGTCCTGTCCAAACAGGCTGTGTTGGGCAAACAGTCTCCCCCCACCCCCCCCCCCGCCCGCCCCCGGGGAGAGGAAGCTCCAGCTCACCCGTGAGCCCTCCAGCATTAAGCCCAGCCTGTTTTACTTTGGGAAC